GGTTAAAATGACAAATATTATGTTCTGCATAATTTTAACCAAACTTTTAAAAACTGAGATCCGGGCCCTCCCTAGTGGTGCAACAGGTTCAAGCACAACACTATGAAGCTATCACAGCCACTACTGCATGAGTTCCGTCCCTGGCCAGGGAGGTGACCCACATGGCCCAGCAGACCTCTCCTAACCTGCCTGCTGCTCCCCACTCTGTCTCTTGTGAATCTTCTTACCCTCGCTCCTCTGGCCTGTACCCCAGTTCTGTAAGCAAAATAAATCTTTAAAAATCTTAAGTGACTACACATTCTGTGGCACAGCAGTTTGAGTGGGTGTATAGCATGTTTCTGAGGAACACTTAGTGGCTAGCTCCAGTGGACCCCAATGGAGGGTCTGGGGGGTGGGACATGCCTGGTCTGGAGACGGACTTGATCTGGGCACAGCTGCTCCGAAGGCAGCGGGCAGAGGTACAGACTGGCAACAACGAAGAGCACTTGTTCTATAGAAAGGGGACCAGGCCTCTCTCCATCAACCACTGCTGGGAGGGAATTCCGGCCGAGGGCACTCACCTCCTCCAACTTTGCAAGAAAATAAAAGTTCAGGTGTTTGCATGAAATGTCCTCTTTAAAAGAGTTGTGTGCACCAAATTCAATCACTGTGATTGTGGCAAAAGATGCACAGAACATAACACCATGTCAACCAGTTTTAAGCATGCAGTGGCCTAAGTACATTCACACTGTTGTGGACCCATCTTCCCAAACCAAAACTCCTTTTGTGACAGTCTCATTTCACTTAGGTGCATGTATTCTTTTGAATTAGTGTCCAAAACAATTTTAAAAGCAATGATGTAATTAGTAACACAGCGGCTCAAAGCAGGAATTCATGGTCCAGAAAGGTGTTTTCTTTAGCTTGCAAAGGGTCCTTTAGTCTTCCTATGTTCACTGCAGCACTATTTACAACAGCCAACTTAGGAAACAACTTAAGTGTCCAAGGATAGATGAGAGGTTAGATACGGAGTAGAGTAGACACAAGGAATACTACTCAGCTATATATATATATAAAAAAAAAAAAAGATGAACTCTTGACATTCACTAACAGGAGGGTTCTGCTTAGTGAAATGAGTCAGGACAAAGACACTCTTCCCATGGTTGTGCTTATTATGTGGAATACAAAACAACAACAACAAAGGGCCAATCAAAAACAAACCAATAACAAACTCTAGAAATCTAACTATAAAACGGGGGCTATCAGAGGGCGTGGAGGAAACTGGGTGTGGTGTGTGGAGGGAGCCGTGGACTATGGTGGAGCCCAAGGCACCTTGGCGGTGGTGTGGGGGGTGATGGATATCTGAACAGGTGTCATCCCATACCTCTGCATCCCAATGTTACCTCAGCAAAAAAGAAAATATTTGGCAGGGTTGGGTGGGAATGGGGGAGTCACTGACACATAAACATGCCATCATGATGCCAGATCAGAACTCAGCGCTGGCCCGGCTTCCTGCAGACAGAGTCAGACATGTCCTGGGCACTGGCACACCTGGAGACACTGGGAGGGGTGGGCCTGTGGCTGCTTTCTGAGGTACCAGCCTCCGCTCAGCGCCGGGCAGCTCACCAGCCACCTGCCCTCGGGGGATGTGTGTCCAGTGCACTCCGGGTGATGCCCGACCTGTCAGGGCTGCCACTGACGCCATGTGCTCTTGGGTCATCTTGGTTTGTTTTCTCAAGGGGTAAAAGCACAGATGTCAACAGGCACAAGCAGACAGACAAGAATTCTTGTTGGGAAAAGAAAACCCAGGCTCTACACACTGCGCCAGGTGGCGTGGGATGCACCGAGCAAGGGTGGTCCACGCCACAGGCCCCGGACCACTGCCCGGCTCACCATGCCACGCTGCCACCAAGGAGAATCTGTCCTTTCGGGCGTCTGGGGGGCAGGGTTACCTCTTTGGGGCGAGGGGTGGGGTAACAAGGCAAGAAAAGGAAATACCTGCCCCCTCTCCAACTTCCAAGGCAGTACAATTCAGACGAACCCCAACAAAGTATTTAGAGCTGGTGTAACAAAAACGAACAGACAAAACCACCAGAAGCTGGTCACATGAAGGAGACGGTTCTTCTTATAAAAACAAATTCGTTCCTCCCTCCTATTACCTTCCCTCACCAGTCACAGGAATTTCCCCACCTCTGGGAACAATGTCCCTGGGCATTTCTTCTAGCTGGTCTTGTACAAAGTCACATCATCCCGGGTGTGGTGACACCCAGTGTCATCATCGTTGACTAAACCTCAGCCTCCCTGCAGTGTCCCAGGCATCTGTCCACAGGCCCCGAGGCCCTTGATGGAGACTGAAGCCCATCCCATGCCCCCCGCTGCCTTTGCTTTGCCCCGGGGTGCACCGTGCACTTGGCCATGGTGTCCCCGCCTTCAGTCCCCAGCTCAGCCACCTGCAGGCAAAGTCTCCCCACAATCAGCAGGCAAGTGCAGGTGCGTTTGGGAGTTAAGCTTCACTATGGTATCCAGGAGCTGGAAACGCATGGCCCTGCCATACCACCAGCTGCTTTCTCTGCTTAAGATGTAGAATGCCAAGTTTTTCTGAAGCTGAACAAGTCCCTGACGCCACCTGTGCACCAAGGAGCTTTAGTTTCCCACCTGAGTCTTGGGAGTCTGTCAACGGTACCCAAACAATCAAGAGCGAGAGGCAGATGTCATGCCCCCCGGCCCCCTGGGGGTGGTCGGGGTGCTAACACCCCACTGATCAGCCCTGACAGTCACAGGCAACCTCCCGCGCAGGGACCATCTTCCACGAGGGCGGGACACACTGCTGCTTCCTAAGTGGCTCCAGGCCCCTTTGTAACGCTGCGATATTGACTGAAAATTGGTACAGAGAAGTGGAATTCAGGGTCAGACAATTCTACATCACTAGCTGCAGAGGGGCGAAGGCATGGAGCATGTTCCAGATAAACACGACTCTGTGCATTCGCGGCCACCTCACCCCGCCCCCGCCAGTGACCCCACACATGCTCGCCCAGCTTCCTCTGCCCTCTCCTCAGCAGCAGCACGTCTACGCTTGCCCGGGCCCCCTCACATTGGGGTCCAGCACGTCCACCTCCTCTGGGAACCTGGGGGCCCTGAACGCCCCTCCTGCCACGGTGCCCCTTGTCCCTGAACTCTGTAGCCCCATTGCTGCTTCTCAGAGTTGAACTTTGATTATATTCAAATCTCCACGATTTATTTCACGTGTCTCTACGTCACAAGCCATGGCAGAGCCTTCCGCTCCCCCAACGAGCGCCCCGCACAGCCCCTGCACCCCCATGCCCGCTCCTGATCACCTGCTCTGCGCTGACCCTACAGACCTCTGGAGACTGGAAGGGTGAAACTGGGGTCCTGAGAACTGGACACCGAGTGACTAAGAATCCCCTGCCAAGTGGTGCAGAAGCGAAGCAGAGCACGGAGGGTCCCGACCCGCCCAACGCCCGGCCTCCTTCACAGACAGCGACATGGGCAGCTCGGGGCACCCGGGGGTGTGCAGGGAGCCCAGCACTCGACAGGTGGCACCTCCAGCCTCTCCCTCTTCCCCAGCCCTGAGCAGGGGGCAGCACGCGCCGAATGCAAGGAGCAGAGCAGTTCCCAGGCCGACCCGGGACACTACACAGAATGAGGACAGACGCTGGGGGAAAATGACCCCAAGGAAGCAAGCAGCGGGCACCAACTCCAAGGCTGCAGGGTGGCCAAGGGTCTGTTCCCCCTGCTCGCCCCGCCCCATCTGCCTCAGCGAGGACGGCCCCGGCACTCACCCACTTTGCGATGGGACAGCCGCGGGAGCTCTTTCCCTCCTTCCCCGTGTAGATGACCTTCTCAATCCGGATGGCTTTCCCCTTCTCCCCATACCTGAAGAGGGAGACAGAAGCCATGTTAGCACAGAAGAACCCCCAGAAGAGCAAATCCAGGAAGAAGGCTAGCCTCAGGGCACTCAGTTTGGTTTAAAGTCCTGGTGGCCATAACAGAGGAGACAGAAAAAGGTTGAATCAATGTTTATCCTGTGTTTAACGCCTCTGGGTGTCCCGTACCTGATCTCAGGCCCTCAGCCCCATCTGCCAAGCGCCTCTGTCCCAGGGCAGAGGGCCAGTCCAGCAGAAACATCCCTGACTATTCCTCCTGGACACCTAGAAGGGGCTTGGCCCAGAGGCGAGCTGCAGGCATTTGCATCTAACCCTGCAGTCTCCAGGAGAACCAGCTATTTATAAGTCAACCAAACAAAAGAAAATAAATGGGGGAAACCCTTGTTGTGCTCACTCAACAATCCCCTGCTGACATTCAAACATGAAGACAAAGGCTGACTCCGGGATTCCTCCAGCACGGGACACGCCTGGCGCCCGCACACGTGTCCCTGCCCGCAGGGCTAAGCACGCCCGCAGAGGTGGTGAGGCGAAGGCCCCGAGCCACAACGGCCTGCCCAGCGCCACAGGACTAGCAGGTACAAAGACGTTAGCACACGCCAGGCAGACCGGGCCGCCTTCTTGCGAGAGATGGTAACCCAGTAGCTGAAATTTAAGCTTCAGCCTCCTCGTCTATAAAATGAAGGTAAGATGGTCCCTACCACCCAAGCTTGGGAAAAATAAAATCCACCGGGGCTGCGTTATTTAAAATGCTCTGAAGTTTCTGGCATGGGGGAAGTACCCAAAGTATTAGTGAATCTGAGTATGTCAACAGCCAGCTTACTGAGCTGTCTTCGTTTTAACAGGGCTTGTCTTGGGTACATCGCATCACCTGTGGATAATGGCCACCTGCCCCCACCCTTGCCACCTGTATTTCCGCCTGTCACCTCTGTGCTGGCCCCGCCTGGCCAGCAGTCACCCTTGCTGACCCCACCTCACCGGGGATGCTTCTGACAGAGCCTCACTGAGCATGAAGCTGACTCTGGGGCAGAAAATGGAACTGCTTACTTTGAAAGGTTCTACAAAATGTCTCCTGTTCTAAGGATTCTTAATCAAGAATTATTTTATCATCTACATTTTCGAGTTTTCAAGGAGAGAGATGGTTGAATAGTTTTTCTCCTTTGGTCAATTAACAGATATGCTATGTTTAACTACTACCTAAATCAAACTATTCTTGTTATTTCTGTGAGGAATCTAATTTGATCACGGCACATTATTTTCACATACTGCTTAAGAGGGGATAGTATCTTAGTTGTCACAGTTACACATGTTCTTTATTTTATCTACTTCACTCCTAGAAATCTCTACCTTAGAAATAAAACAGACCAAGATTTAGGAACAAGCTATCTACTATTAAGTCAACAACAGAAAAAATTAGAAACAACTTAAATATCCATTATAGGACTGGCAAAAAAAAAAGACAACTTCCAATACAATGTCAAAACCATGCAGTCATCAAAAAAGATTTGACAGAATTATATATACCGACATGGAAGAAATTTAGTCAGGAGGAAAATGCAGCTGCAAATAGTTGGTGTATTCTGGTTGATCCCATTTGTCCACTTTCTCTCTCCCTAGACATATATCTTTGTAATGGGTAGGAAAAAACTGAAAGGCAAGCATCAGTTTTTTAAAAAATGTTTTCCAGGGAAGGATAATCACTAGTTTCATTCACTCTAGACACTTTTTACAAAGGCCTTTTGTAGAATTTTTTTTAATTGGAAAAAGAACAAATATTTTTAAAATGCTAACTTAGGTTTCTTCAGTGTTTTTTCTACTCCACCAAGACCTCAGCAAAGGGGTGAAAAGCATTTCTGATAAAGCCCACAATAAACCTGCAGCTCTGAGGGCTCCTTTTAGAAGATGACGAAGGCAGGACTCAGGAGTTTCTATGGCATGTTCTGGCTCTAGAGGCAAAGACTGGAGTGTGCACGTTTGTGTAATCCCTGGGAACTTTCAATTCAAGATCTATCAGGAAGCGGCCTGCTAGCGCACACTGTGTGAGTCCGGGCCACTGCAGGCCCAGCCCACGGCGCCCACACTGCTCTCGCCCAGACGGACAGGATATCATGTTCCCCACAGCGGGGTGAGCTGAGGACACCAGCCTGGCTTTCTGACCAGGAACTTCCCACCACCCCACTGCTGTGAGAAATGCTTCCGGCAGTAAACTTCATATCCTAAAGCAAATAAAACGGCCAAGCACGGTCTGATCAGCTGGGCTTTTTTTTTTTTTTTT